ATTTCTGATCACAACCGTACCGGGTTCCGACTAGTCTTATTCTGTTTAGTTCTGTTTTAAAACTCTTATTGTAGCTTTACCCCAATTTTTATACCGTTCCAAGACTTCCAGTTACTGTCCCTACTCTTCTTTGTATCGTCCCAGGCTTTCTTTTTTCTGTCCCAAGACTGTTCGGTACCGTCCCAGTACTTCTTGTTAGTGTCCCAAGACCGTTCGGTACCGTCCCAGTACTTCTTGTTAGTGTCCCAAGACCCCTGTCCCAAGAGTACTGTCCCAAGAGTACTGTCCCAAGACTACTGTCCCAAGACTGTCCCAAGAGTACTGTCCCAAGGGTACTGTCCCAAGACTACTGTCCCAAGACTAGTGTCCCAAGAGTACTGTCCCAAGGGTAGTGTCCCAAGACTAGTGTCCCAAGACTACTGTCCCAAGACTCCTGTCCCAAGACTACTGTCCCAAGACTACTGTCCCAAGACTACTGTCCCAAGACTCCTGTCCCAAGACTACTGTCCCAAGACTACTGTCCCAAGACTACTGTCCCAAGACTACTACTGTCCCAAGACTACTGTCCCAAGACTAGTGTCCCAAGAGTACTGTCCCATGGGTAGTGTCCCAAGTCTAGTGGTCTAGTGTCCCAAGACTAGTGTCCCAAGACTACTGTCCCAAGGGTAGTGTCGCAAGACTACTGTCCCAAGACTAGTGTCCTAAGACTACTATCCCAAGACCACTGTCCGAAGACCACTGTCCCAAGACCACTGTCCCAAGACCGTACCGTCCCAAGACTATACCGTCCCAAGACTATATTGTCCCAAGACCGTACCGTCCCAAGGCTGTACTGTCCCAAGACTGTACCAAGACTGCTCTGGCCCAAGACTGTCCCAAGACTGCACCGTCCCAAAACTGTCCCAAGACTATACTGTCCCAAGACCGTACCAAGTCTTATTCTGTTTAATTCTGTTTTAAAACTCTTATTGTAGCTTTACCCCAATTTTTATACCATTCCAAGACTTCCAGTTACTGTCCCTACTCTTCTTTGTACCGTCCCAGGCTTTCTTTCTACTGTCCCAAGACTGTTCGGTACCGTCCCAGTACTTCTTGTTAGTGTCCCAAGACCGTTCGGTACCGTCCCAGTACTTCTTGTTAGTGCCCCAAGACCCCTGTCCCAAGAGTACTGTCCCAAGAGTATTGTCCCAAGACTACTGTCCCAAGACTGTCCCAAGAGTACTGTCCCAAGGGTATTGTCCCAAGACTACTGTCCCAAGACTAGTGTCCCAAGAGTACTGTCCCAAGGGTAGTGTCCCAAGACTAGTGTCCCAAGACTACTGTCCCAAGACTACTGTCCCCAGACTACTGTCCCAAGACTACTGTCCCAAGACTAGTGTCCCAAGAGTACTGTCCCAAGGGTAGTGTCCCATGTCTAGTGTCCCAAGACTAGTGTCCCAAGACTACTGTCCCAAGACTACTGTCCCAAGACTACTGTCCCAAGACTAGTGTCCCAAGACTACTATCCCAAGACCACTGTCCCAAGACCACTGTCCCAAGACCGTACCGTCCCAAGACTATACCGTCCCAAGACTATACTGTCCCAATACCGTACCGTCCCAAGGCTGTACTGTTGTACTGTCCCAAGACTGTACCAAGACTGCTCTGGCCCAAGACTGTCCCAAGACTGCACCGTCCCAAGACTGTCCCAAGACTATACTGTCCCAAGACCGTACCAAGACTGCACCGTTCCGAGACCGTCCCCAGACTGCACTGTCCCAAGACTTCTTTGGTATTGTCCCAAGACTTGTCACCAAGTGTCTGAGCGGTGGGACTTCTTTTTCTTCGTTGTAGGGACTTCTTGAATCACTGTACCTTGTACCACCACTTGAGCTCTAGTAAAAATTTTCCCAAAAAACCCTCTCTTAATGGCCAAATGCTTCAAATATTGACCCCCCTGTAATTAACTCCTTTTCGATGTTTCAAGCAACTTGAAACCAAAACTTGTACGCAGGTATCTTGTGATCACCATTTCGTTTAAAAACCAAACACAAATTCTTACCAAAAAATTTAAACCAGAAAAAGCAATAAGAACAGAGAGATGAACCCACCTAAAATTCAAAGGTGACAGATGTCTACCTTCTATCGAAAAAATGTCTGGTACCTAATTGCCACGCGTTTTCCTCCCCCTACTAACGATCTTATTGGGTATCACAAAAAATTGTCTATGTCCGTTCCCCCTAGCGATCCGACCAGGGTACCTACCTTAACTCGATGTTAAATTTGGATATCCACCTATTATGACCAACGCGTGTAAATATCTAATGTAACTAAATCAACGATGTCGATTAATTAGTTACTCTAATTTCCTCCCTTTTTACAATTTGCAACCACCAACCTCTAACCTAACCAGCCCCCCTTCTAACCTCCCCCCTCTTTAGCCCCCTTCTTAAACCTAAAATTACCTTAAGCGCCGGGTGCTAAACCTCTCGAGAGAAAACCGTAGAACTGTCTCCAGGCCTGCTTGTGTAAAAACGTTCCTCAAAACCGCGGGATTTCGCTGATCCAATTTTACACTTATCTCCTATAATGTAATGTGGATTTTAACGATACCCGTTTTGACCAACTTGAGAACTCGAGAACAGCCAAATCCTCCTTGACCACTTTCCCACTCGGCTGGTCACCTCTTCCATTCAAGACTCCTATTGGTTCAGCCCAAATCCTCCTGAACCACTTCCCCACTCGGCTGGTCACCTCTTCCAATCAAGTCTCCTATTTGTCCAGCTAAATTCCAAGCTATCTGAAAACACTTAACAACGCCCCACACTCGGGCACTTTATTGAGGTTGCTGGGTTAAATTGCTAGATAGATCGTAATGATCGAACTTATAAAACAGTATGGGTATACCATTTAATTAATAAAGGTTTGATCCAACTAATCTGGTGTCAAAGTCACTGTCTTTTTTCGTTTTATGGTTTTTGTTCCTTTATCTATTCTTTTTCGGTTTTTGTTTCGCTTTTTGTCTTTTTTGCTCGTGTTTTTGTCCCCCTAGTTACCCCCCTTTACTCGGTTAGCTAAGCTTCGTTCGGAGAGCGTACCAGGAAGTTTTCTCGAGTTTTCTTAAAAAGTTATCACGGTACAACCGGAAGGTTTGTACGTTCCCGCCGAACCGTACTACCGGTACTCTAGAATGGGCATGCAGCCCGGAGCTGTGTCAAGTGGGTTCGATTCCGTAGTCTTCATGTTGTAAAACACCCAGGAGCGCCATTAAAACACTATGTAACATTCGTCTACTTCGGTCACACATGAGGCTTAAGAAAAATAGGCCCTATAACCATTGGCTCAAGAGTCAGGGACACTATCTCTTGTGTTTTTCTACCTGAAAACGGTCGGAGCCAATTCGGCTCACTTGCGACATGAGACTACAACCGGTTACAGCTTAAAGGCTACTACCAAAATATCCCCCCACTCTAGAAATAAGAACATCCCCATACTTAGGTCTCAAAATACCCAAAATACACGAACGCCATTAAAAACCGGTTCGGAACAATCCGTTATGTTACTTTTTTTATCAGACAGTGGAACTTTGATCCATTTCAGATGGATCAACCTAAAACTCGCCTCATCTCAATATAACAATCTAAAAAAACACACTCAAGAAGATTAAATTATGTACTCACATCTAAGCACGCTCGAGAATTAGGAGTAATTAAACGAATTACTGACTCTATCATAAATATATTTGAATATAACTCAAGAAGTCTTTTAACGATGAATTCCAATCCAAGGAAGTAAGTTTTAACTCAAGAATATAGTTTTTGGATATGAACCATTGGGACACTTCAGCTGTCCAGTGTCCACCTTTCCACTGAAGGTTCACTCTGGTTCAGTTCGAATTATTGTATTCTTCTCTCGCTTCGTCTCCTATTTTTCGTCTCCTATTTCAGGATAAGACGGCTCTACTCGTGTCTTATTTTGTATCTGGAAATTGCGAATAGCAATATCCCGCTGTTTTCTTAAGTACTTTCCCGCAATTGTAATTTCGGTCGTTCTGATTTTATTTTCTCATTTTCAGTTGCTGCGAGAAAACTGAGCATGACTGGCTCAATTCGAAATTTTGAAAAATTAAACTGCACTCCAAAATTACGTCTTTTCGTGTCCCTCAAGGTCAAACTTCCAATTATGACCGACTGGCACAGTCAAAATTAGCAGAAAATGTATTAAATCAGTGGAAAATATTAGAAAATGCGTGTTACAACCGCATTACTATTCAGATAATCATCAAGATTAATGAGTTCAAAATAATAAGAATTTTTCAGGCTTGAAAACTTATCTTCTTATTATTTAATCGGTCAATAATAACACTAATGGCCTGGATTTATTTTCTTACTTTGAGATTTTTGTAAGTTATTTTGAGATTTTGAATTCTCAATTTTGATTGGCTGAAAGCAAGCTAAAATTAATTTCAAGCATTCGGTCCTTCAAGCATGAGGAACGCCACCTCCCTTTGGTATTTACTTAGGAATTGCCATCCCCTTTATTTAAAAGTAATTAAGCGCTACAGCTTTGTATTGAGAATTCTATACAAAGATTTTTGCTGCAATCTGATTGGTCGAAAAAGCGTTAATTTAATCTATTTAACAATTGCCCCCCCCCCCCCCTTAAAGAGGGCAATTGTTGAGTAGATCCAATTAATTAACAACAAGCCCGACTACTACAGGGATGCGGCCCCCTCACCAACCGAAGGGTTCCTCTTTGATTTTTTCATGACATCCATTTTTGGCAGACAAACTCTGAAATTTTTCAGTATATACCAATTTTAAATGGGAGCACGCGCTGAAAAAAGCTATTTTCTTATTAAAATTTTTCAAAAAATCCCAGAAACAGCATTTTGGGCCTGTTTTTTTTAAACACTTGCCCCCCCCCCCCCACTTGAGAAAATCCTATATCCGCCTCTGCACTGTCACTATAATTTCGGTTGGCGGCCCTTATTTTGGGCACTCAATTTGGGGGCCCTTGATAGTTTTTATATTTTTCGGCTATTCGGGAACGAATTTATTTTTCGGCTATCCGGGAACGAATTTATTTTTGGGCTATCCGGGTATTCGGCTCCGTGAGACGCCACCGAGGCTCGGCCCCCCAGAGACATTATATGGTGAAGGACTATAAAGAACTGATTTTTAGCTACTCTAATGCCATAGACATTTGAATTAACACCGGTTTTATCTGATATTTTAGAGTATGAGTAGCAAGAAACACAACCCGTATCGATTTTAAGTGAAAAAGCCTGCAACTCTTGTCATTTTCTTTTATCTTTATCATTTCCATATCTAGAAAATTCCAAGGATTTTGACTGGAATACGTGATGAAGGGACTCTTGCCTGTAACTTCGGTTACTATGATACTTTTGACCTTCTGGTTACCACGAAAAAAACTTCCAGTCAAAATCCATGGAATTTTCTAGATATGGAAGTGATAATGATAAAAGAAGATGACAAGTGTTTAAGTCCTTTTCAATTAAAGTCGATACGGGTTACGAGAGCCACGAATGCGAACCAAATCTCAGTTGGAACTTTCTACAATGTAGTTGAGAAAAACTCTGCTCAGCGAGACAGCCAGTTGGCGAGATTTGACATGAGAAATCCAGCTCCTGGTAGCAGCAGTCCAGGGCCAATTGTGACTGAGCGTGTGACTGTGCCGTCTTCCCAACATGTAGCCGAAATTGTTGGCAGACAAGGTAAGTTTTGAACTTCGGAAGTCAATCTGATTTCAAAGACTTAAATTAATTTAAGACTCGTGAACGTAGTTCAGGCTCATTTTTATTATGTCGCGATATTGTTTTTCATTGTCAGGACCAGTCTTTCAATTGGTTCATGCTAAGTTTTTTTCCTGGTTTGACTTTGATTTAAGCTCAGATCATTTTCTTTGCTAGGAATGTCAAACAATACTATCGCACTGTAAAAGTAGCAAAAAGCGTGATTGGTTTCAAGTTTCGAAAGAGTTTAATTTCAGCTTTCCGAGCGATTTACTTTTTGATCCAGTTTTCTTATTGGGTTGACTTTATCGAAAGAGTCAATCAATTATTCTTGAAATTCAGCTTTAAGACCATTTTTTTTGAAATCCTAAGTTGAATTTCAAATAGAAACAAAGGCAGTTTTTTTAGTTTGCGTTCACTGACTCTTAACTGTCTGCTGGCAATGTTCTATTTAAAAGTGTTTACCTCTAGGTTGCAAAATCCAGGCCCTGAGAAACCGGACTAATACCTATATCAAGACTCCAAGTAGAGTTGAAGGTACTTTATTCGTGATCTCGGGGCAAAGAGAGAGTGTTGCATTGGCTGTTCAAGAGATTCATCAAGCTAGTGCGCATTTCACAAACATAAGGGCTGAAAGAATAAGAGGACTCGTCATTGATAGGGTACGGCCAATTTTATATGAAGTTGTATTAATCCTAAGCATCTGCTGATGACAGTTTTAAAAGTAGCTTCAATAATTCATTTTCTATTTTTTTTTGCATTTAACAGTCTAAACAAAGTAGGTCTTTGTTTAAAGACTTTATTTTGGTTCGAGGGTTGCTGTCAAAATAAAAAAATGCTGCCATTTTTGACGGAATTTTTTTATATCGTTCAAAAGGTATTGTTGTCTTAATCTTAAATTTGAAAAGATATTTCACCTGTGATCATTTTCGTAAATTTATGAGGGTTTAAAGTTTGCTATTTTGGCCATTTTTGCTATTTTGGCCATTTTGACCAATTTGGGACAATTAACGCGCGATATAATTCGCGCTATTAACGCGTAAGCTGAGCTTTAATCCGTCTTATAAATCGTTCCAAATTGGTTGAACGAAGCTTATTTGCCATAATTGATTTGTTACTAGGAGCGAAATGGTTACATGTCAGTATTTAGACAGCCGCGTATTCATACTGGTCAGTATTTAGACAAATACTGTTTCAACCAATCAGAATCGAGACAAAGAAGAAATTAATAAATAATTATTATGTATTTTGGATTATTTATGTTTTTTCTCGATTCTGATTGCTTCATACAGTATTTGTCTAAATACTGACCAGTATGAATACGCGGCTGTCTAAATACTGGCTGCACTCCGAGCGAAATCTATTCGTTGGTACTTTATACGGTGTGTGGGGGGATGATTTTCATAAAAAATTTAAAATTAAAAAAAAAATTTCGTTTTATTTTTTTTTTCATATATTTTCTTAATGTTATTACTGCTGCTCCATAAACCTTAAAGGCATTCGGAACATTCAGGGCTTCGCCCTGATACGAGCAGTCTTGTTTGTCATTAAAACCTACTATTAGCGTTTTTAAAATTTTCAATCTTAAACTGGCGAGGGAGGTTTTAAGAAGTAACAAAACGTAAAATTTGTTTAAAAGCATACTGCGACATCTTTCTGAATGGCGAGATCATTATTTTTACACGATTGGAGATTATAACAAGATCTACGTGTCTAATTCTCAAGGGACCTGGTTTTTTCAAGGGACCACTCAATCATAGTAGTACCCGTAGTTGAAATATTCACGCTAAAATGATCAACTAGAAATGTTTGTTCAAAGAAAAAGTAAGTTTTGTATTTACATAACTTTGATCGTAATATGGAAAGTTTTGTCCATAATAATCTGACCTATTGTGAAAGACCTATAAACATTCCTCAACATCAATATAAATTATGAAATATGAAATTCTAATTTACGAAATTCCCAAAGATTTTTTTTGTCGAAAAAAATCGACAAAAAAGAACAAGACTGCTCGTATCAGGGCGAAGCCCTGAATGTTCCGACTGCCTTTTAAGGTTTATGGAGCAGCAGTAAAAACATTAAAGAATTCAATGAAATAAAATAAAAACGAAAATTTTTTTTTTGAATTTTTTTGAATGAAAAACATCCACCCACACGCCATATAAAACAGAAAAAGATAGATTTTGTTCCTTGTAACAAATCAATTATGGCAAATAAGCTTCGTTCAAGCAATTTGGAATGATTTATAAGACGGATTAAATCTCCGCTTACGCGTTAATAGCGCGAATTATATCGCGCGTTAATTGTCCCAAATTGGTCGAAATTGGAACCTGATCTAAACTACATTTTATTATTGGATATAATTTAGATATTTTATCACTATAACTTACTAAATTTTAACCAATCATGATCCATCTAACTAACAAACCACTTATCTGTAAGTTCTGAAATTACTTGTAATTTCAGCACCAGAGAGATTTGAATTTAACTTAGAAATTTTTTACCTCCAAGAGAACTTCAGCAATCGCAAAAACTCTAGTAAACTCTAGATCTTTTGAGCCTAGCAGAGACTAGTTAAACACCCTGAGACAAGTAGATATAAGAGTCAGATTAGGATCGGTATTAGACTATGAAGTTGCACGAATCTATCCGGCCGAAAATAAGATAGCGTGACGAGCAGACGGTGTACCCTATCCGAAATTACTTAATGAGTTAACCCCAAGAGCGTAACTCATCTGGTGCGACCACAAGTCTCGAATAAGACCTTAAAAAACAAGATAGCTTAGAATTAACCAAAGATAGGTTAGAAATTAGACAAAAGATTTTCAAAATGTTACTTGACAATAACTTAATTGAAATGTCTCTACGACTCAATAGATCAGAGCCGCTATTCCGTACAATACGAGAGCTACCCGGTATTGGAAGAAGACCTCGGACAAGAGACGACATACGACTACATAGAAACTTACCATTCAGTTTCATGGTCGTACGGCGAAAGCCAACACAAACTTATATTTAGAATCTTACTAGCAATGAATTTAGATTTTCATTTGCAAACATAAAATCCTTGAAGGAAATCTTCAATGATTTTTTCAGGCGCTAAATAAAAATTATTTTTGTACAATAACGATTGATAATAACATCTCAAATCGTTCCCTTCAACTCTGCAGTAAAATTTAAAAATATATCTGAAAAATATTTTTATTGAAAATAGAAATAAAAATTAGTAGCGTGACAATAAACTGTAAGTATATATAAAGCATCCTGTCATCTCCAGCTTCATCACCTAAACATAACAGCAATCATAAATTGACTAATATCACAAAAAACTAAAACTTTTTATCAATTAAATTTAAATTATTTCAAAAAGGCCTATCCTAAACTTTATTTTTCTTTAACTTAACTTTGTTTAATCTTAAAACTGACCATCAAGGCTTTCCTTGGATCTAAATTAATTTTATACTTTATAAATTTTATACTCTGATCATCAAGGCTTATCCTTGGATCAAAAAGAACAATTTCGTTCTCCCCCACCCACTTATCAAGTGTCTAACGACCTCAAACGTCGATTCACTATCCAACCTTTTCAAAAGACCCAGGACTGATAGAAATTTTTCAATCACTCTAACCATTCTATTCAGGCTAAACAGTGAAGAACTTCGGTTATTCATCCTTCACTTGAACCCTCCTCTTACCTGACCCGGGATAAATCTTAAACTGAGTAAGTTTAAAATAGTATCTAACGAACTACTTGCGTTCTAATTATACCTGAACCTTGTGGATCGATTTACTATTCTCCAACCCTTGAACACAATCACTATACCTAAGTAAGATTAAGTAAGTTAACACCTTAGCTTAGATTAGTCACGAGAAAGTAAAAATCATTCTCCGGAATCGATATACTTTTCTCTCCAACCCTGAACAAAAGACCCAGGTTAAGCTAACCAAAAAATTGCAAGGACTAACAGTCTAGGAAATTAAAATCACTAATAACAATCTTGCATGCCTCATCCTAAACCTTGTCATTGAAAAATCTAGGAAATAAACAAACAATCGTACTACACAATTTTGAAATAAACAACCAAAAATACGATCTCGTTTTTACCCCGCTTGCACAAACAGTTGGATACATTCGAACAAAACGACAATCAATAAAAAGAAAAATTATAAGTAAACAAAGACAGATCACACGAAAAAGATTTTCAAAGCGAAGAAACGCAATCTCCGAATCAGAAGTCAGTAATCTAGACGCACTATATAAACTAAAAGATTCAGTGAATAAAAATTACCCAATCCATGATCAAATATATTTTTCCGATTCAGAAGCCACGTCATACTCATCAAAAAATGAAAAAGAAGAATAAAAAAGATATACAAACACGAACCAGTACATCTATACAATTGGAATCAACCAATCATACACATTGAACATTATGTATTAACAGTCATAAAAGGAAAAACTGAGCAACACTCAAAGTGACCAAAGTCCAGACGAAGAATCTGTTTTTCCATTCATTATAAATTCACTCACTGATGATAGAGGACAAACTCGATTTTGCAAAAATTTACTCGTGAATTTGTTTGAACGAGGAATCAGCCCATGTTAAGCAGAATTCCCAGCAATAAAAATCAAAAGACAAATTATAGAACATTATTTGAAAGAAGTATGTAACCTAACACAACAATGGAATCTACACCATAGAAATCAGTACACCAAGAACATCTCATGGTAAATATGTTATCCAAACAGACGACTTTGATTTAGAATTTTCAAAGGTATTCACAGAATATATCAAAAGCATACAATATCAGAATTCACAGAGAGCAAACTCAATATTCACTAACGATGTTTTTCAATAATATATAGTTATTTATCTATACTAGAAAGAACAGAAGCTCAAAGTACATCACCAGTTCAAACACGAAGAAACCCAAAAGTAAGAAATGAAATTGCCGCATTTTCAACATTTTTAATCACAATCCGTGAAAATTTTACCAGTAATAATGTCTCACAAAACGCTAAACAAGACTTGCAAAAAATTCTAGCATGGTTTATTATTGTTTATTTTACACATAATATCGATTTAATTGAACAGGCAAGAAAAACTTTCAGACCTCAAAGTACCAATGACGATACTGTCATTGCAGAACAATCAGATTACGTTTGGGACCCCGAATGGTCTCATCCACTATTTCTAAATTTCCCAGTAGATATCTCAAGTCAAGCAATAAGTACAATATCTTTTCACAAAGATTATGTAAAAGTATTTGCACTAACAATAGATGCAACACCTTTAAACTATAATTCATTCCTACCCGATACACAAAATAATAGTTTAAATTCAAATGTTATACAACAGGAAAATCTAATTGGAACTAAAAATCTTACGCAACAAGATATTCAAACACCATCACATTTTATAAATGAAGAGATAGTTCAAACAACAGCAAAAACTACACAACAAAGTATTTCACCAATACATCCAAATCTCACAACACCAAGAAATAAAAATCCATTACTATCACAAGTAACATTTCAATCGACGGTTAAACCCTCGGTTGCTCCAAAATACTCACATATGGACTATCAAACATATAGACCAATGACAAAACCATCAAAAACACGAAAAACTTTCACGAGAAATAATTTTGCAGAACACA